TCTTTGTCCTCAGGCGCCGGTCCCAGGCACCTGCTCACCAGTCCCGCCGCCCTGCCTCCCTAGCACCAGGGTCCCTGTCCCTTTAAGGCTTCCAAAAAGTGCTCGCCAAAAAGAGAAAAAAAAGGGGGAAAACGCGTGATTTCCTCCATCCTCAGGTGCCGGTGTCAGGCACCCGCCCACCGGTCCCGCAGGGAAAAACGCGGGATATTCTTTGTCCTCAGGCGCCGGTCCCAGGCACCTGCTCACCAGTCCCGCCGCCCTGCCTCCCTAGCACCGGGGTCCCTGTCCCTTTAAGGCTTCCAAAAAGCGCTCGCCAAAAAGAGAAAAAAAAAGGGGGAAAACGCGCGATTTCCTCCGTTCTCAGGTGCCGGTCTCAGGCACCCGCCCACCGGTCCCGCAGGGAAAAACGTGGGATATTCTTTGTCCTCAGGCGCCGGTCCCAGGCACCCGCTCACCAGGTATCTTTGTTTTTATAGAATTATTATTTTAAAACAGTAAGCAGAGTTTTATGGTTAGAGGATGGTGAGAAGTGGGTATAGAGTGTCAGCTACATCCAGACATGTAGATAAATATATAGATATGATATATACATAATTTAAGAATCCAAATATGATCTCTTCCTGAGGAATTACTTTAAAAGAAAGCAATACAAGTGTACTTGGATCATCAGCTAATCTAACAGGTATCATGACTATTAACTTTACATTGCTATTATATTAATTGGTAGAATAATAGCCTGTATTATCTTATAAAGATGATGAATTATTAAAGAGGAGACTTTTGGTCAATATGACAATGTAAACGTAAGTAAAATGGAGAAATATCTGCTTTAGCACTGAAAAGCAAGCATAAGTCACCTACAACAAAAAAACTTTGGATATATTTCAAAACTGGGATTAAAGAAAAGCACAACTTGTGATTTACATCTGCAAGAGTGGACATGAGAGGGAAGGAAGGAAGAGATTCTAGCAGAAGATCACTACCATTACTTAAATCAGAGAAGTTCTAGTTATAGTTCGATTTCTAGTTCAAGCTGTTTTCCCATGTTTCCTACAGTTATGTATCAAGTAAAATTACAGTAAATCTAATATTTTTCTAAACCTGACAGTTTTGGCAGGAACACACATCAATCAGTAAGAGAAAACATCTTTAACCTGTTATATGCCCACCCTGGGCAAGCATAATCTCACTACAAAGAAACAGAAAATCACTCACACTGTAAAAAAAAAATACTAGTTTAAAAGAAACAGAATACTTTGAGAAATTAGGGCAAATGAGGATAAAATCTTATGAAAATAATTCAGTAACAGGGAAGTTGTGGTATAAAAACCTAGCAGAAAACTAACATTCTTAAACAGAACTAAAGCTATATGAACTTTATTAATTGGTTACAATATAATGCTTATGTCAAAAAGAAATCTTGAAAGAGAATATGATAATGTAAAAAGAATTTTAAGATATTAATCTGATTTAAAAAATAATCCCAATTACAAAAACAGAAACTGTGGAACACGGGAAGGAAGAGGAAGTCATTCTTGATGGTGCAAGGATTCCTATTTCTAATATTGCTAACCCTTTCTCTTTGAAGATAAGGAATGGAAAACCAAAGTTTAATGTATTTATGAACAAGAACTACAATAAGAAAGCAAATGTAAAAGACTTACAATCCAAAATGACCTGAACACAAGATTTCTTTTCCTAATGTTACTAAATTCTAAGATAAGGCAGCTAGACAACGGCATTTTCAAAAAACTTTTTAGTTCAAATATATCACTCAGTATAATATACTACCCTATAAATTCTATAAATTCTATATATGAAACACAAGACAGACTAAGGATTAAATTTTTATTTATAAGCAGTTTTTATAAATGCAATATGAATTATGATAGGCAAATTATGAATTACAAAGATGAATAATAAAATTATTTAACTGATGTATTCAAAAAATGTCAAACAATGGACTATTATATAACATTTTTTTCTATTTAAAGGTAATTACATTGGTAAGAATATAATGAAATGAATACTTGTATAAACTGAAGATGGGAGTATAAATTTATTTATACTCTTTATTCCCTTTAACCTATGATTTCACTTTTATGAATTTATACTAAGGAAATTTTAGGTTATACAGTATTTATATAGCTTGTTTTTGAATTCCCACCAAAAACTGGGAAAAGAACTAAACATCTGATTCACTATTTTACATTTATACTGGATGGTAGGCTGCCATTTAAAAAAATCATGTCTGAAAAGTATTTCTATAAGAATAAAAAAATTTGCATCTGTTTCTTGGCAGTTTATATTTACTTCTTTAAATTCTTTTGTATTTGTAAATATTCTAAAATTAACATGTATCACTTTTATAATACAATGTTTAAAAAATAGATGTCATTAAAAAATATATCTTAAAGAAAAATTAAGACCAACTGGCAAAGAAAAGTTCCTTAAAAGGTATCTAATAAAACTACTACAGATTCTCGTAATATTAAACAAGCATACTAAAAATAACTCATCTTTAGAAAGTAGCTTTCTAAATTTTTGTGCTGCTGTTAACCTAGTTGTAGATTAGCATTATTAAAAAATTATCTGAACCATATCTGTGGTAATAACTTCTTCCTAAAACACAGAAAATTAATTTATCATTTATATATTTTGCACAAATAATATTTGCTGTAGCCTATCTCTGAAATAAGTATAATTCAAAACATTTTTGTAATGCCTACCTCTGGAATGGTACAGTGGAACTGATATCTGGATCCTAGGTAGGACTTTCCAGCATAGATTAATCACCTCTGGACATTTCTGCATTTTAACAACTGTAATAAAGAGAGATCAATTCATACACTGAACTATCCACAAAACACTGAGTTCCCATAAAATTATGTTTTTCATTTAAGTTAACAAAACAAATAACTTTATTGTTTAAAGTTGTAAAAATTTTAGTATCTCCCAATCATTACACCATTAAGACCTAAATTATCTATGAGAAGTTAAACTTTCTGGACTAGGTTAGTTCTTATCCTGCAGACTGATTTGGGTCATTCTTAATTTTAAGTCTTTTATCAATAGCCCATTCCTTAAGTACAATACACATTTACATGTTAGAGCGTCTGAAAAAGAAATATGCTCATAGTAGATTATGAGATATCTAAGAAATTTTCCAAAGAAATCTTAAGAAATTTGTTACATGAGAGTGATAATGTGGTGTATTAAGACTTAATACATCAGATTAAAGGAATAGAGAACTGTCAGGAAAGATGGCTCTATGCTTATAAATTCCAGAGTGGATAAAAATAATGAGAAAATGAGGAGGTAAGAGACATGGTGAGGTCACTGAGGGAGATTTATAAGTGTACCTCCTAAATCAAAATTCAGAAAAACAATATGGTATATCTTCGATAGCTAAATAAATACTATTCTTCTTCAATCTGTACACAGTTCCCTTTCTAATTAATCATTCAACATACTTTTTTTGAGTACCTAAAATAGTAGGGATTGCACTAGGTACTATACAGAGATGACAAATCATAATCATATAGGCCTTTTTCAACTTTCTTCATTGCTAGTCCTTCTCACATATCAGTTTTAATTTATGTGAGGACCACACCCTCTAATCATTTATAAATACTTCTAAGTTTAAGTATATATTGGTATGAAAAATGTCGAGATGCACTCTCTGAAATGATTTTTTTGCTCCTTATGTCATGTATAGACAGTTCAAACAGAGGATTAAGAGATCTGGGTGATGAGACTTTACAGAGTTACAGTATGAGTAATATAGGAAAATGACTACAATTAACTTAGGGGCAAGAGCTATGAAAACCACAAATAACAAATGATTATAATTAGTGTATTTTGGGGAGCAAATTTTACAATGACAAATAGAAGTGATCTAAATAGGCTCAAGAGTAAAAAATTCTTAGCAAGGAGACAGAAATATGATTAACATATAAAGCTTGTCAATAAAACAGAAAAGTCATTCCTGTTACTGGTTAAAAATAGCAAAGGATTTTGATTCCTGAATTTGTTAATATTATAATAACTCTATATTTAATTTCTTAAAACATTTTTCATTTAAAATGATCTAAAAGTTAGCAATAATAATACTTCTGAAATATGTATAAATGATGTTTTCATGTAAAACAATTAAATATTTAAAATACCTACCTGTTCTTCCCTTTTCTGTTTTTGAAGCTGTATTTCTTCTTTTTGTCTATGCATCCCTTGGAGATTTAGGGCTTTATTCTTACAACTTTTCATTTTCATTCTATAGTTATCTTTCCCTGGACTAACCATGGCATCTTTAGGTTAGGAAAGAAGAAAACAGATAATGACAATTCTGAAAACATGAGATGTTTACTCTAGGGAAACTAAATTCAGGCTCACTGATTAAATAGGCCAACAAAACCCATTCTGAAAAAAATGTACAAAAATGTATTCCCTCACTCTCATATCAAAATTGGAGCAAAATAACCAATATTTCAAGACTAAACTATGTAACAAATAACAGATTTTGGTCTAAACACAGACAAAGTAATTACCCTAATTTCACTGATTCTAAGATGCACTCCCATTCCTGGTATTTTTAACCTTTCTGGAGTGGGATGCAACTTAAAAATCACTGTCAGCCAGGAAACAATCATGAAATAGATGGGCAAAAAAACTATTAAATTGCAGAATTTGGCAAGACCAAGAAATAGCCAATAATGAAGTGTTTTATTTTCAGTTGACTATGGTATTAGGCTTCAATAAGCATACCTCAAATATTTATTGGGATTTAGCTTCTTTCATTTACTTAAGGCACTGCTTTAAGGACTAAGGACATATGGGTAACAGCTAGAGTCATGACTTGAATACCAATTTTCAGTACCATGGTATAATTAGTTATTTTTAAATATTGAAATATTTGCATACTATATTTTTAAATAGTTTTATTACAAATATATTTGAAAACATTAACATCTAATAAACATTTTACCATATATTTCAAATATTGTATATTTACAAATATGAAATTTTGTATGAAATATATCCAGGTATTACTTTTAGAAAAAGAATTATAAACAATTTCATAGCATTACATTGATATTGTATATTAATATTTTGATATTATCTGAAACGAATACTAAATTACTGATATTACAACTGATCCTGGATTTACATATTAAAAAAAAAAAGAAGTCCAAAGCAGGGTTTCAACTTGAGCTTACTATGAGAGATAATTAGCGGTTATCTAGAATGTTATTCTGATAAATTCTGAGGACACACTCAACCGGAGACAATGTTATAATCAACAAGCATTTATGAAGTAAATACAAAATGAGAGGTTGCCATCCCTACATAGAAGAGACAGACTAATGAACTGGTATTATATTGTAAATAATGAAGTCTGCTAAAACACATGCAAGAGCACAGAAGACATAGCAATTAACTGTGCCTTAGGGAACTCTGAAAGTCTTTAGTTATCCCGTCTTAAAGGCTGAGCAGGAATTTGCCAGGGAAATAGATGAAAAGGAAAAAAGAGAAGGAACAAGCATTTCAAGCAGAGGGAATATATGCAAAGGCGGAGTTCTTCAAGAAGCGTGGCATAAACATGGAGCAGTAAGACACTGAGTGTGCTTGAACAAGGGAACATGGGAAAAGGGGCAGAATATAAAGCTTGAAAGGTGGGTAAGAACACACAGGGTTCCTGCAGTCTGGCTGGGAATTTGTACTTACCTGAGGAAAAGGATTAAAGAAATTTAAGAGACCGCTGTTTCAAAACTTGAAGACATGAAGACCTGAATTAAATTAGTAGCTGCACTAGAAATATATAAGATTAGGTTGACTACAGAAACATTTTGGAAACTGACTCATAAGAACTAGAGACCAAATGAATATAAAAAGTACGTACTAAGCAAGAAACGGGAGTTGAGGTTGACTTCATGGTTTTTAGCTTAAACTATTTCAGTATGATGTCAAAATAAACCAAAACAGAGAATACAGATGTAGAACCAATATGGTGGTTTGTTTGCTTGCCTGCTTTTTTTGAGATGAAAAAAAAGGAATTGATTAGTTTTTAATTTACATACAGTAAAAAAGAAATCTCTCATTTGGTATACAGTTCAATGAATTTGACATGTGCACAGGCATATAACCATTAAAAGCAAGATACAGAACAGCTCCACCACCACCAAGAAACTCCTATTATGTCTCCTCTCATCCTTTGCCACACTATGGGTTAGTGTGCCTATTAGTAAAATTACAAGATTGGTACAAAAGTAAAGTGTGCCAAACTAGAGCCCTTACAACCAAAAAAGCTGTACTTAAAAGATCTAATGAACAGAGCTGTTTCTTGTTTATCAACAGTCATTTTCCTACAAAATATGTATAGACTGTTACAATTAAGAGACATCATCTCAGCATTTTTTTTAATGTCTTTTAAAAACCCAAGAGTAAATACCAATGTCATATTCTTTTGAGGCTATCCAGTTTCACCGCTTATGCATTACCGAGCAAATGCTACTAGATTTTCATTTTGGGATGGAACTGATAGATTATTAGAGAAGCCTCTAACCCACGCTTACTCTAACCCACGCTTACTCTAACCCACGCTTACCCGCGCGTCAGGACTGATGAGCCCTTCGAGGCACCTGCCTCCAGGTGGAAGAGGATAGCTGGCGGCGGTAGAGGTTCAATCATGCAGGCCCCCAGGATCAAACCTGCCTCATTCTGGACACTGTGGAACCGCTAATACGCTGCCCGACACGCGCACACACGCTTAGTCTCAAGAGTGCGTGACAGCGTTTGACAAGACCATGTACCGTACGAGGAACTACTGAGAAACGGCGGGAGTATGATCTGGGCTGCCAGAAGCTTCTTCGCAGGACCCGACTGCCGATCAGAGGGGCTGGACTCCGCGCTTTCGCGTCTGTCAGGGAGGTCCGGCTGCCACGCCCCGGTCCCCGCTGTCTCCCTCAGGGGAACCCGAGAAAAGCCCTGGCGTGGTCAGGACCTGAACGTCTCGCAAGGAAAGGGGTAAATAAAAACAGCAGTCCCAGGAATTGGTAGCTCCCACGGGGATCAAACCCGAAGCTCGCCCAACCTGACCTGTGTCACTCTCACTACCTATTAATGTGGCACCATCTCATACCCTGACTTTCTAGTCCCCGGCTGCGGGTAACAGCTGGGGTCACCACTCCACCCCTAGCGTTAAGAACACAGCGATGAGGTTCGCAGCTCAAGATGGCGGCCACCGGCACCCCTTCCCCGAGACTCCGAAGCTCAGCTCCCAGAAGCCCTTGCAAGCGGTGGCGGCAGCGCCTCACCAACCAGCAGGCGGGCAGAGAGAAACATACGCCCCAGCTCCACCCACCGAAAGAGGAGCCGGCGCCTGCACCTATTCTGAGATTTTAGTGGGGCGGTCCGCTGTGACACGCATGCGTCCAGCAGCCCTAGCCCTCTGTGTGAGCTTTCATTCGTTCGTTCGTTTGTCCGTTTGTTTATTATTCATTTATTCATTCTACAGCGTAGTGATGGAGGGCCTAATTTGTGCCAGGCACTGTTTTATAGATATTGGAGCACAACTCATAAAAATTTCAAGCTCATGGAACTTTTACTGAGGCCCTTTCCTCTTCAGCTTCATTCACGTTTTATATGCTCTGCTCACTTGTTTCAAGCTTTTCAATTTGCCATTTATTTAAAAGTTGGATTCTGTAACATCTATGGATTTTGGACAAAAAGGCAGTCACCGATATGTGAAAAGAGTAACCCCAGATAAAATACTCTGAATTATTATAACACAAGTAATAGCCTTGTAATCCACTCTGGAATTCAACAAACTATTGAAAACAGACTGTTTGCCAGATGAAATGCTAGGCACAAAATATACAAGATAACACATGATTTCTGCATTGAAGAGCAGCTGTTTTTCATCTCGCACACTTTGTTCTCTTTTCTGAGAAATTTCTTGGGTTATCTTCAAGCTCTCTATTGATAAATATGCATATTTTAATTATATTTTTTAATCCCAAGAGCTATTACCTATTTTTGATTTCAGGCATTAAATATGTTTTGTCTTTCTGAAGGTATTAACTTTGTTTTAGCTTTCACTTATTCCCCATTTTCAGTCCAAGTAATGTCCTTGAAGTATTTTTTTTTCTACTTCATTGGTTGTCTCTGTTTCTTCATAGTTTATTTTTTTTCCTTTTTTATCATTTTGGTTTTCATCTTTCCTGCCATAGGCTCTACTCCAATGCCTGGTGATCCTTGAGTTTCTATTCATATTTAAGAGACACTAAAGAAACCAATTAGAAGCTTGGGTATCAGTGTGTCTTCTTTACAGATAATTTTTGGCTTCCTTACAGAATGGTGAAATGGGATCTTGACTGTTTTATTGGAGAACTTTCTAAAAATCATTATCTGTAGATCTTTTATCTTGAACCAATGGTTTTCCCTGGGGAATTTTTCCACCTCCTGACTTGGAGGCACAAATCAGACATCAGAATGTGATGGGAGAAAATTGCTTAGGGGACTTCTTAATTCAATGTTTAGCTTTCACATATTCCCCATTTTCCGTCCAACACCTTGGCTCCGACCCTTAGCTGTATATTTCTCACTTCATAGCCTTTCTGGTTCATTTTCTTCAATAAATCTGTAGCCTTCTTTCTTGGAGGGAAAGCTGAGTCACTGCGTGACCTGGCTGTGGGGGAAATCTGGAGGTAGGGCTCTAACTATTCCTCATTCAGACTTTCAGCAAAATGTTCCTCTTTTCATGCCCAAATTTAAAATCTTTTTCAAATGTACCTGGTCTTAAATTTCTGAACATTTCCAGAGTTCTGATGTATGAACTGACTTGTTTTTTTATTGACTTCTCTTCTTAGTTACTACTTATCCATCCTTTTCTAGCTTTCAGATTTTGTTAAAATCTTATTAGTGTTTATTATTTTTATTGTTATTTTAGTAGATTTTGAGAGGCAGGGAGTATAAAGGTATGTATTCAATCTGCCATGTTTAACCACTCAACTCCCAATATACTGTGCATCTTCAGATCATGCCACTCTTCTATTTAATTATTTCTATAGTTTTCTACAAGGTTCTATACGATTTGGCTCCTGTCTACATCTTTGACCTCATAATATAACCATTCTTCCTTCTACAACATTATGTTCTTTTTGCTCCAGCCTTAGAGACGTTTTTTTATTATTTTCTCTACTTGGAGTACTTTTCTTTGTTGGTGCAAGGTTTGTTCAACAGCACATTAACCTCCTCAGAGAGACTTTTTCTAACTACAATAGTCCTCTCTATAAACAACTCAGTTTTTTTTCCTTTATAGCACTTATCATATCAGTTTTGTGAAAAATAATAAAGGGAAACCTCATTAAAGTGGACTGGGAGACTAGAAGGGAGAGCCCTACTGATTTTCATGTCAATCACAGTAAGAATTATCAATTACAGACCCCAACAGAAGAATTCTCAGTAAGATGGAATCATTACTAACAGGCCCAGGAGGGAAAGATATACATTACATCTTCTACAAGAAGTTGACTACCTCTGCAACACAGCCAATGAAAACCCCTGAAGACTTGCTTTTTCCCAGGGGGCTTTCAGGTTCAAAACTCCCAACTTCTTTCCAACTTCCATCTTCTCCATAAAAAAGCTGTTCCTCTCCCTTTGTTTGTTGCACTGGAAGATGTTTGCTACCATAACTGGCATGTCCTGAATTGCAATTCCCTGCTATTCCTAAATAAACTTGTTTTTGCTGATAAAATAACTAACAATTTTATTTTTAAGGCTAACAGTTTATTTACTTGCTCATTTTCTCTCAGACTCACAAGAACGTAAGATTTAAATGTGGCCTGGATTTTTTTGTGTTTTGATTACTGCTGCAGCCCCAGTTCCAAGCGCCATGCCTTTCTAATAGACACTCATTAAATATTTGTTGAATGAAATAAGGTCTGAATCATAAAAACAAGGTATGGTGTGATCTTGTAGCCTTGAGGCACAAACCTTAGTTATCTTCCATCCATCTGTGGAACATAGTTAGCATCATTATATGTATCACCCAAACAGCATAAAAACCCCTTGTTAAAAGGGGTTATTGTGGACTTATGTAATGCCTTAGTCCAGAGAATTCAAAAAGTCCGTAGAGCCTAGAGTGTCTCCTAGTAAACTAGAGGTAGGAACCCCGAGGAAAGGATATCTGAAAGACTACGACTCCCAGAATGCGCTACGACTCAAACGCATCTGGAGCAGGGCATGCTGGGAGTCCTTCCCTTCCGTGGGGACGGAGGGAAAGGTCTTTTTTGAATGTGAGGCTGGAGGCTGGAGCTCTGTCGAATCGCTGGTGCTTTTCGTGGTTAACCGTGAGTCTCGACATACACAGGGCCTGCCTCACTTCTTCAGGCTGGGAAAGGTAATCAACGCCGCACGCGCGCTCCTCTGTCGGCAAATCAGCTAGCGTCAACGGCGGGACCCGAAGAGGAAGCCAAGGTTAGAGGCTTGTTGCCGCCGCGGCTCTCCGAGAGGTTAGAAACTGAGGGTCCTAGTCTTCATTCCCCAGACCCAAAGCCTTGACCCCGTTGGTGTCCCCACTTGTTCGGTGCGCTGGCGCGACATCTGGGCCGACGGCCATGCAGCACTCCGGCCCTTCACGGGCGTACGCACCCTGGCACCTCTGGTACTGGCCTCACATTTCCTACCCATCTGTTCCTGTCAAAGTGTCCGGGAGTCTGAGCGTAACCTTGTGTGTTTAACCGTGTCCCAGCATCGGGGAAAGAAAAAGCTGTCTGCGTGTGACCCTTTGTCCACTTGGGGTTGGAGGTTTTCCTTCTAAAATCAGAGAATATTTTCACTTCTCTAAAGGGAAGTGAGAGAAATAAGGACAACGTATAGAGTTCTTATACAGCTAAATTTATTTAAATGCTAGGAACAGTTTACTTATTTCCCTTTTCCTTTTTTTAAAAAAAATAGTTCTTAGCTGAACGACGGTCTGTAGTAGGAAGATTGTGGCTGTGATTGCTCTTTAAAAATAATTTATTAGCAAAATTACCTTTTTGTTGGTAGCCACTACTAAAGTATGAAACCAAAAGTGACTGCTGATTTAGCACAACTCATTATAGACTGAACCTCAAAGAGGTGAGATGTCTTACCTAAAATATGAAAATTGACGCTATCCAGCTCTCTTGACCCTGGAATCTGCTCTTTTGTACTGTTTTCACTCTGCTCTTATTCTTTGGATTGAGAGTACAGCCTCCAGAGCGTGAATGGGTTCACATCTTGACTAACCCTTTTCTGCCCACCCACTCAGTGCAGTAAGTACATTGAAAGGTTCTTCATCTAAATCTGGTTTAAAATAACAAATATATTTGTTCAAGTCATTTTATAAAATATACTTCCTTTTTCTTCTCTCACTTTCTTTTTTTTTATTAAAGTATCATTGATATACACTCATGAAGGTTTCACATGAAAAAAAAATGTGGTTACTGCATTCACCCATATTTTCATGCCCCCCCATACCCCATTGCAGTCACTGCCCATCAGTATAGTAAGATGCCACAGAGTCACTGTTTGCCTTTTCTGTGCTACACTGTCTTCCCCATGATCCCCCCACACCATGTTCCTCTCACTTTCAAACATAAACTGTGTTATGTTCTTTTCTAGCTACCCGAATGTATCATGCTTTCCTGTGATATTTGTGGTGAAACAGTAACCTCAGAACCAGACATGAAGGCTCACCTAATTGTTCACATGGAAAATGAAGTTATATGTCCATTTTGCAAGTTGTCAAGTGTGAACTATGATGAAATGTGTTACCATATTGAAACTGCTCACTTTGAGCAAAATAAACTAGAAAGAAACTTTGAGAAGATCAACTCAATACAGTATGCAATGTCAAATAACAGGAAGGACAACACCCCACAGTGTAGAATGGAAGTTAATTCCAGTATTCATTCAGCTGGTGCGACTAATCATCCAAAAATTTCAGCCCAAAGTCCGCCTAAGGATAGTATTTTAAAACATAAAGCCCTTTATTCAGAGAACTTAACTGTATCTACAAAATTCCTGAAATGTGAGAAAAAACAGTGCGACCTATCCAAAATAAAAGCATCAGTTTATGAAACAATGTATAGTCCTCCTGAATGTCCATTCTGTGGAAAAATAGAAGACTGTAGTCAAGAAATGGAAACTCATGTGAAAACTAAGCATGCCAATATTTTAGACACTCCATCAGAAGGTAAAGAGTTCATTTTATATAAATAACAGTAGTCTCAGTTTAATATGTTGTGTTGTAAAAGTTGGTTTTGGTTTGTAAATCAGATTACAACAAATGTGGGTTTTTCTAAGTTTTTTTTTTGATATTGAGGTATAAATATACAATCTTACATTGGTTTTAGATATTGAACACAGTGGTTCAACAGTTACCCATATTATTAAATTCTCACTCCAACTAGTGCAGATACTATCTGTCAATATAGGAAGATATAACAAATGTGTTTTTAAATTCAGTTTATATGTATAACATTGTTCATTTTCCATTTTTGCAGTATAAAAATGTAATAATGGAAAAGAATTTTGATGCTAATATTAAATGTTTCAGTTACATTAAGAGTAGGTTTAGAACCTTTTTTAAGGAGAAAGAGTCCAGTTTCCAGAGGGCATATTTTACTTACCACCAACCCAATGGCATCTGGACTCTATAATTTCCTGTTATTGAGTTCTAGTTTGATTCTGTTATGATCAGAGAACACACTGTATGATTTCAGTTTTTTTTTAATTTGTTGAAACTTGTTTTATGGCCCAAGATATGGTGTATGGTCTAGCATGGTACATGTTCAATGGATGCTTGGAAAAAACGTGTATTCTGCTATGGTCGAGTGTTCCATATTTGTCTGTTAGATTGTTTTGTTTCATTCAGATCTTCTATAACCTTGCAATTTCTGTCTAGCAGTTCTACCAGTTATGGAAGGGGATTGGTGAGGTTCCAAATTATAAATTATTTTTTCTTTCATCTCTATCAGGTTTTGTTTCATGTGTTTTGAAGTTCTTTTGTTGTACATGTAGAATTTAGGCATCTTTTTGTTACTGTTGAGTTTGGAGAATAATTTGAATAAATAACTTAGGTATAAGTTCTTTATCAGGTATGTGTTTTGCATATATTTTCTCCATCTGGGGCTCATCTTTTCATTTTCCAGACTTGCCATTCACAGAGCAGAAGTTTTTACTTTTAATGAATTGCATCTTATTTGATTTCTTCTTTTGTGTATTGTGCCTTTGGTGTTATCTCTAAAAACTCATCTCAGACCCAAGGTCAGCTTTCATATGTTACTTTCTAGAAGTTTTATAGGTTTTGAATTTTATTTCAATCTATAATTCATATGAGTTAATTTTTATAAAAGATGTAAGAAGACTGTCTAGATTCATTTTTTTTAAATTAACACTTTTTAGAGCGGTTTCAGGTTCACAGCAAAATTGAGCAGAAGTACAGAGAGTCCTATGTACCCACTGTGCCCATATACAGTTGACTCTTGAACAACTAAGTTTGAACTGTGCAGGTCCATTTTTATGTGGATTTTTTTTCCCAATAAATACATAATATCTACAATTGGATTTAAGGCAGCAGATTCTAAGGGTGTTGTGTGTGCTAAAATGGAAAAGGAAAATGTTGTATGCATTAGCCATACCCGGATCAAACCTACAACCTTGGTGTTGTTAGCAACCACTCTCTAATCAACTAAGCTAAATCAGCTGCATTGGGGAAAGGTCTTTACTAATGTATTTTAAAGTCTGTATTTTATATTCAACTGAAGTCAACTGGTGTTTTTCTTTATAGAAGATTAAGAAATGTTCGTTCTTCTGTAAAGAAAGGGAAAAGAGAATTCCCAGCTGATGGCATAGATGCACCATGCTTTTTCCTGGGGAAACTGTCCTCAAAATGACCAGAGAAAATTCAGATAAATGTCCCCACTAGGGCTTCCTTCCAAGTACTCTGAGAAGGCCCCGCAAACACAAAGCTGCTCCAAGTCTGGCATGGCAATGAGCCGATCACAGAGCCACCACAGTGCAGGGCTTGGATTTGGCGTCTGTGTTCAGGGTGCAGATTCTCTGCTTCTGGAGACCATTTCAGGCAGGTCAGCTTTCCCTGGAGGCCTTGGGACCTGGAAATTTGCACTTTCTTGTCACCTGGCCTCGGGATGGTGTGGCCAGGGTCACTGTGACCCTGAATCTGTAGCTGCATGTTTTGGGCCTCTGGCTCTGTGCTGGAGAAGTCATGGATCTGGAGCTTCAATGCTGCTTATAGGATACTTGGCATCTGAGTGTGGGGTTGGGTTTTGCAGGGTTAAAGGACTGTGGGGACTGCCCCTCTCTAGAACCTCTCACCTCTCCCCATCACAAAGAGCTAAGATTCCCCAAATCCATGACAAGGGATGTTGAAACCAGGGGGAGTTCAAAGTCAGGCTGTTACCTGGACCAGAGGAAAAAGGATCTGAGAGGAGCAGTGGAGCCAAGGCCTGGGTTGGGCAACTCAGAGAAAGGAACTGGGAAACCTTTGCCCCTTTGAAGTGCACCGTCCCATCCTGGGCCTGATCCATCTGCAGGCCCAGCCCATCCTGGCAGGGACTGGTAGAGAGCTAATTCCTCTGTTTGCTTTTTTTTCTCTGTTGGACTCTACAACTTTACAATTTCTTTTCTACTCTTCTACTGGCTGTTGCATCTGAAGTTAATTGACCCATTTTATATATAGGAGGCTGTAAGTAGTTAAGTTTTTGGGGAATGAAAAGTTATATATGGATTTTTGACTATGCCCCTAACTCCCTGGGTGTTGTTCAACTGTCAGCTGTATTTACTACCTCCTCCACTATCAGCATCTATACCAAGTAGAAAATTCATTTCAGGTGATGAACCTACATTGACATATCACTCAATGTCCATAGTTTACATTAGGATTCACTCTTGGTGGTGTATATTTTGTAGGTTTGACAAATGCAGAATCTGTAGTTGTTAATACAGAATAGTTTCACTGCCCTAAAAGTCTTCTGTGCTCCACCTGTTCGCCCCTCAGTTCCCAACCCCTGACAGCCACTGGTCCTTTTACTGTCTTCATAGTTTTGCCTTTTCCAGAATGTCGTATACTTGGAATCATATAGTAAATTTGACTTTTCAAATTGTTGTCTTTTACTCAGTAATATGTGTTTAAGGTTCTTCCTTGTCTTTTCATAACTTGATAGCTCTTTTCTTTTTAGTCACAAAAATAGTCCATTTTCTGGATACACTACAGTTTATCCATTCATCTACTGAAGGACATCTTAGTTGTTTGTAAGTTTTGGCAGTTATGAATAAGGCTGTTATAAACATCCATGTGCAGGTTTTTATTTGGACAGGTTTTCAGTTCATTTGGGCAAATACCAAGGAATGTGGTTACTGGATTGTATGGGAAAGTGTGTTTAGTTTTATAAGAACTGCTGAAGTCTTACAAAGCACCTGTGCCATTTTGCATTCCCACCAGCAATGAATGAGAGTTCCTGTTGTTACATATCCTTGGCAGCATTTAGTGTGTGTGTTCCAGATTTTGGCCACCCTAATATGTTTCTAGTGTTATCTTTTTTTTAAAATTTGCAACTCCCTAATGATGTAAGATGAAATCTTCTCATATGCCTACGCCGTATGTATGTCTTCTTTGTTGAAGTGTCTATGAAGGTCATTGGTCCACTTTTAATCTAGTGTGGTTTTCTTATTGATTTTTAAGAGTTCTTTGTGTATTTTGGATAACACATTTTTATCAAATGTCTTCTGCAAATATTTTCTCGCATTCTGTGTTGTCTTCTTGTTCTGTTGACATTGTCTTTTGCAGAGCAGTTTTTATTTTAATGAAGTCTACTTTGTCAGTTTTTTCATACATTGATTATGCCTTTAGTATTGTGTCTTAAATGTCATCACCATACCCAAGGTCATCTAAATTTTCTCTGATGTTATTGTCTAGGAATTTTATAGTTTTGTATTTTACATTTAGGTCTATAATTCACTTCTCAGTTAATTTTTGTCAATGTTGTAAGATCTGTGTCTAGATTCATTTTCTTTGCATGTTGATGTCCAAATGTTCTAGCAGTATTTGTTGAAAAGACTATCTTTGCTCCATTGTTCTGCCTTTCCTTCTTTGTTCAAGATTGGTTGACTGTATTTGTGTTGGTCAATTTCTGGGTTCTCTATTGTTCCATTGATCTATTTATCTGTTCTTTTTCCAGTATCATGTTGTCTTTGATACTGTAGCTTTATAATAAAAGTCTGTAAGTCAGATAGCATCAGTCCTCAGACTTAGTTCTTCTTCAGTATTGCATTGGCTCTTCTGAATTTTTTGCCTCTCCATATAAACCTTAGAATCAGTTTGTTACTATACAGAAAACTTGATGGAGATTTTTACTGGGGGTGCTTTAAATCTGTAGATCAAGTTGGAAAGAAGGGACACATTATCAATATCTTTGTAAGTGAACAAGAAATAGCCATTTCTATAGTTCTTTGATTTTTTTCATCAGAATTTTATATTTTTTCTCATGTATATAGTCAGATTTATTCTTAAGTAGATTTATTCTTATGTGTTTCATTTTTTGGTCTTAATTTGCCTGATTATGTCTTTGAGGAATTGGTCCATTTCATTTAGGTTATCAAATTTTGGGGCATAATTGTTCATAATGTTTGTTTATTTCCTTTTAATGTCTATAGACTGTGTAGGGATGTCCCCTCTTTTATTTCTGATAATTAGCAATCTGTGTTCTCTTTTTTTTCTTAGCTTGGCTAAAGGTTTACTGATTTTATTGTTCTTTTCATAGAAGCAGTTTTGGTTTCATTGGTTTTTCTCTGTTAATGTTCTGTTTTCAATTTCATTGATTTATGCTCTGATTTTTATTATTTCTATTCTTTTGTTTACCTTGAATTTAATTTGTTCTTTTTCTAGTTTCATGAAGTGGAAGCTTAGCAGATTGATCTTTCTTTTCTCCTAATACGTGCATTCAGTGTTATAGATTTCTAAACAGTGCTTTCACTGCAATTCACAAATTTTAAGTTGTATTATAATTTTCATTTAGTTCAAAATGTTTTTTAATTTCCCCAGAGATTTCTTTGATGCATTGTTATTTAGGCATTTTAATGTTCAATCGAGGCATTTAATTTAGTCATTTAGTGGTGGATCTCTTAAGTGTTTTGGGATTTTCCAGCCATCTTCCTGTTTGATTTCTAGTTTAA